AAAAAAAAAAAAAAAAAACTTAATGATTACAGTTCACTAATTATTTTGTATCTTCATCCATCCCGGTTTGAAAGAAACCGAGTAAATTTAAAGTTAAAACAAATAGAGAAATTCTCGCATCGTTAATCAGATATTAACTGTCTATTTTTTAAAGATATACCTATTTTCTTAAGAACTTTATTTTTAAACTTTTCTAATTTTATTGTATTGCTTCGTAAAATTTTTAAAAGAATACAATTAAAACGCCTCTGGATAAAAACGCGAGATGATAGATTTGTGAATCGCACGAGACTCACTTTCCCATGTATTCCCCATGGAGTACAGTATCGCAGCTATGACACTTGAAGCACCAAACGTGCCATTGACGATCGAGTGCAACCAATGCCTGACCTTCCCTTAATTGGTTTCCGCAACCAGCGCAGACTCCAGGGTCGGTGTGTCCGCCGCTTTTTGTACTAGTGCTATTACCGAGCGGCGTAGAGGCTTCGCGAACTGGGATACCAACGCATCGGTGACATAGCGCTTGACCTATGAACAATATACAATTCGCGGAGATTAATGAGATCCGGCAACGGATCTCGAAGTGTCATCATTAACCTTCGTGCTGCATGCCAACCTTTCCGCCTCTTCCATAACGAAACTTATCATCCAATTTCACATTTATTCCTATAATTCCTTCACTTGGACACATTTAATCTATATCACACAAGTTCAAATTTGTATACTAGCTGTATATAAGACATAGATTTATTATTGCTTAATTAATAGCAACAATCAAATTCAAGTATATAACACTCCAGAATAACATAAAACGTATTTTCATAGATCGATTTATAAAAAGTGACATTTCCGCTCTCAGTGAATTTTTCACGAATTAAGCGAGAAAAGACAGAATTTGTTTCTATTTTTATTTTCTTGACAATATAAGATATTAAATGCGAGTTCAACGTAATTTATTTATAATGACCTCAATTTCCTGAGAAATATGTGACACATTGGATCGTTGCACCATGTACACCGTAAGCTGATGCACGTCACCAGGTTTTTACTTTTGACCGGGCAATCGTTACAAGGACGTAATACAGACACGCGGCCTTGTAACAATGGAGTAACGATATGCCTAAGTGGCAATTTACTCTAACAGATTGACTGCTACACTAATTGTGAAAGCTGCACTAAAGTGATGCTGACTATGTAATCTCAGTACGCATCGTTATCTACAATTAATAGAAACTGCCGACTATTTTGAATTAGCGATTTTTCTACACGTTATTCCACGCATATTCATTTTGCGTAGCGATGACTACATTATAATAAAAAGTGATATACGCTAAATAAAGGTACAGATCGAATACGTTACTTTATAATTTATCAACTTAGCCTTAAATGAATTAAGAATCGATTGTTTTTGAATACGTACCTTGAACAAGAGATACTTTCGTTCCTTGTCCAAGTAGCGGTTGCCGACATCTCTGGCAATGGAAACAATTCGGATGAAACGCGTGCTTTTCGCCGGCTGTCACCACGTCACCCTCCACGTATTCTCCGCAACCGGCACATCGTGTACCCCAGCGTTCCCGATAATCCTATAAACAAACAATAGCAGACAAAAATTTTATTTTAAATATCAAAAATTTTTTTCTCTTATTCTTTTTCACAACAGAAACCTCTCTCATTAAAAGATGATGTTTGAGATAGATTATGTCGAACACAAAACGCGTAACTCACCTTGGTGCAGTAATAGGAACCCTCGCGCGTGAAAAATCCACCCAGTGCTAAACTGGCATTACACTGAGCGCACTTGAAGCACCCTATGTGAAAGTATTTGTCTTGCACGCGCAGCACCTCCCCGCTGCACTTCTTCTTACAGGATTGGCAAAACGTTTTACCTAAAACAACAAAGCAATCGCCATTTGAGAGATGGATCTCTTTCGCAGATCATTGAGATTTTCCATTTCACATATAATCAAATATCCGATAATAAATTAAAATGGATTCAGAGAGTACTGTAATTAATTTGCGAGCCCTCTCGTGCGTAACAAATTGCATATTGGAGTAAAAGCTGAGATAATAAGTTTATAGCAAGTATTTATACATTCAAACAGACATTTAGAGTACAATTTACAAATTTTTACTAAAGATAATTTTATAATATGTTTTTTCATCTTGTTTTTTATTATTAAGATAATAAAATCGTCAATTTTTGAAGGGAACTGATTTGTTGTCATATTTTCAAAAACTAACAAAATTAAATAGAATTTATTTTAATCTATTGTGATTTCTTTATCTTTGTACGACGCTATTATATTTTAAAATCTATCTAATTTAATTTTAATCTAATAAGGAAAATGAGGAAATTAAAAATTGATGGAAAATAAGGTATTTATTAACAGCATGAACTTTTTCCTGCAAGAGCGTACGAAGCGAAAGATAAAAATAAAAGCAAAAAGTGACATTGTATGAGTCATGCTCGCTCGTACGTGTTGATCATTCGAGATTTCTACGAGTGTGTTTACGCAACAATGGCGATTCGCATCTTCCACTTGCTCGTCGCACTCGCGTGATCATCGGCGCTTGTTTAAGCGCACGTAACTTCCACCTTGTTATATAATGCACTTGTCGTCAGCTGAAAGGGTGCATTACAATGTTTGCTTTCAGGAAGAAGACTGAACTGTGTCTCGCGAGTATAATATAGCGTTTTCCATCAAGACGATCTGGATAAGTTCTAAAATAATCGATTTTTACGAACTTGATATTTGCATTTTCAAATATATAACTTTCAAATTAAAACATAAAAATTTAATAGCAGATTAAAGATAGAGTTTATCTCTCTCTTCTTTGCTCTCTTTATATATCTATTAAGTATATGAATTTCTGAAAATCGGATAGAAATTTTAATCAATTTTTCCAATATATTTTTAAATAATTGTTAAATATTACAAATGGTTCTCTTCGTCTTTTTCTTTTTTATACAACAATCAGTTAAAAGAATTTTGACGTATCATTTGTTTGGTGTGTGTCACTATGTCCAGATTACATTCGTAACACATTGTATCTGATTTATACGTGTCGCGAATTAAAATTACGTCATGTCATCAAACGAATATTAGCTCGAAACATAAACATGAGTATAATGTTTTGATACGATAGGGGTACACATGTATACTACGAGTAATGTAGATACATTATTCATTGGCCGTACAATTTCGAATAGAAATCGATACCTTGCGATCGTATATTCGCACTTAGCACGTCTTCTTCATTACATTATAATTATATAATGAATAAAGAATATCTCGATCCAACATGAGTAGCATAATTTATTCCCTTTCGACATTCTTCAATATAAATTCTTATATGATATTGAATTGAATGCGTTTTCCTGTCATCTTGTATCTATATATCTGAAATTATTATGTCACGAGAAAATAATTAAGTAGAAAAGAACGAATCTTGATTTATGCAGATTATAATTGTGAGAAGGCGGTAAAAAAACTCATCGAAATAAGTGCTTATCCCGTTCAGTCATTCAAATCGATGACTCAACCTCCTACGGCGAGAACATCTCCTATGACGAGACGCGATGAATGTGGCGCCTTTATTGAATTATCGGTTGTTTTGAACGGCAATCCGCGATAAAATTATAGTATATCTATAGCGCAACTGGATTGTGCATAAAATATCAGGGGGAGTTAGGTTTCCTCGCGCAATACGGTCAATATTTAGAGAGGCAGAACTAATAATCTTCCTCCATTTGCGCTCGTTGCACCGAATCCAGCTGTTCCGCCTAAAGACCGTACTTGTTTTGAGTTAACGATGTGTGCATAGAAAAAAAAAGATACATGGGCAGCAGCGTTACATTACGAGTCGATCCCGTTGGTGCGAAACAGAACTTTTTATTATGTAAATATAGAGTGGCTCTCTATAATAGCTCTGAACTAACCACCTGTTAATCGCATGTGAATATCTTATTTAATGAAGTCGATCTTTCTATCTGTTGAGAGAATTTGATAGACAGTTATTTCCGAAGATAATTAACATGAACAGATTTTAATTCGGGAAAACTTCGTATATATAAAAAAAATATTGTTTCTGGATTATATAGAATAAATGTTTTAATAGAAAACTCTGTAAATAAAAATTCAATTTACAAAATAATTAACTAACAATTTAAGAAATATACAATAAATATAACACTTTCTTCCAAATTCTCAAAATTCTTGATATTTTTGCCACGCGAAAGTTTTTAAACTCTGTTGATACATTTGGCAAATGCAAAATGTTTTAAACATCCTGTATAAATCACACATGGAATATACTTCAAACAAATGATTTTACTTCGCAAGAATTTCGTGCTACTAAAAATTTCACGAATTCACAATGAAACAAAAGGAAAACTTCGTATATATAAAAAAAAATATTGTTTCTGGATTATATAGAATAAATGTTTTAATAGAAAACTCTGTAAATAAAAATTCAATTTACAAAATAATTAACTAACAATTTAAGAAATATACAATAAATATAACACTTTCTTCCAAATTCTCAAAATTCTTGATATTTTTGCCACGCGAAAGTTTTTAAACTCTGTTGATACATTTGGCAAATGCAAAATGTTTTAAACATCCTGTATAAATCACACATGGAATATACTTCAAACAAATGATTTTACTTCGCAAGAATTTCGTGCTACTAAAAATTTCACGAATTCAATGAAACAAAAGCAAATGTCGGCGATATTTATAAATAACTTAAAAAAGAGAAACCGTGCATAAACTTTCAAAGCGGGAGGCCGGATCTCGCATATTTTTAAAAATACTCGTTGACATCATAGCCTCCTTGTATATCTGACGTCATCGAGTCGTCATATGAGTTAAAGTCGACAAGTGCGAAAAAATTCTCTCCGCATGTAGGCAGACGGCGTTAAACGCATCCGCTTTGTTTCGACATATCTGAATGCTGTTAAGAGGAATTGATTTCAGAAAAATCCATGAGAATTTCAAATCCTAAAATCCGAATATTTATGACAGGATTATATGTATAAATAGAATGAAAATTACCGTCAAATTTTCTGTAAAAAAATTTGACTTTAAATATGCTCGTTAAATCTGTGATCAAATATACTGCGTGTAAAAAATAGTGATTGTAATAAATAGAAAGTAAGTAACGAAACAATTTCAATGTTTTGGCTGAAATTAAGCTCATTGTATGTGTGTGTGTGTGTGTATTAGATTTTATGCCCGGTTAATACTTCCGGTTTAAAATAATGCTGACGCTACTTTCTCTATCAAGCCGACAGGAAGAGTGCGAATAAAATACAAAGTCACGACTTCAGCACCGTTACGACGCGAGCTCGCATTTAATCGAACGGGGGCACTCGTCCATAAAGTGACACACCCTCGTCTGCGCGTCACATCTCGTTTAATTTACGGCACGCTTCAACCGCAGCGAAAAATCTGCGGCCAGAAAAAATATTGGTCGATAAGTCCAACAGGCGAGCGGACGATAACGGAATTTATCGCTCTCGTGATTCGCGCGCAAAGTGTCAACCTTCGTCATCGATACGATAACAGCGTGTCGATGTCATATGCAGCACAGTTAATAAAAAAAAAAAAAAAAAAAAAAAAAAAAAAAAAAAAAATCGCGTTGTGAGTCGCTAACTGTGAGTCCTTCCATGGAAGAATCTCATGGCACTCATGGCAGAGAGAGAAAAAAGAAACGAATTGAGTTAATATAAATTTATATTTCAATTTTGATTGAAATTCGATCAAACTTTTAATTGCTTCAAAAAAGCACTAATAATTTGATTGAAAAATGGATCAATTTGTATAAAAAAAAAAAATCGCGTTGTGAGTCGCTAACTGTGAGTCCTTCCATGGAAGAATCTCATGGCAAATGAAAAAGAGAGAGAAAAAAGAAACGAATTGAGTTAATATAAATTTATATTTCAATTTTGATTGAAATTCGATCAAACTTTTAATTGCTTCAAAAAAGCACTAATAATTTGATTGAAAAATGGATCAATTTGTATAAAATAATCAATGACAAAATGTAGATTTTTCAACCACGTTGTTAATCATTAATTCAATATCGGTATTAGTATTACTCCATCGTCGTGTTAAAAGATCCTACGTCATTCAGATGAATAAAAGACCAGTTTTTGTCGCATTTGTAAAGTATCAATAACTAAAGCTGATAAATGAAAAATTTATTCTCTTAAATATCACGTTTATGCGTTAAGTCATTTATAACAACTTTTTTATATTTGTAATATTAAGTATCTTAGAAATCAAGCCTCGAGTTCTACTTTTGTGAAGACGCAAAATACACGAAATTAATTGAAGAATATGACTCTGTCATGACTGTTCCACATAGGTACCGCCATACGGCACAACATGGTATGTTAATATGATTCATAAGTGGTCTAAATAGGATGTGGTAAAGTGGGGTTAAACGCAGCGACCCTGGACTGCCCTGATCCTTCTCGCGTTGCACTCTGGATTATAAGATCGAATAGTAATCGAGCGTGCAATAAATGTCTGCCAATTATGCCTAATCACCTTGCACTTTCCTGCCATGCATTATTCTATGCACAGTTCTTATCATATGTATATGATTTATATAAATTAAGAAAAAACTTTTAATCTCATTTGCGATAACCTATTGGTAGTCTTCTTTTTATAAATTGTACGATTTCTTTACACAAACATCCATTAAAATACAAGGTAATTATAAAACGCTAAAGAATTAATAGAAACGAAAATTTAGTTAAAACTTTCTTAGAAAAAAAAAAAATAATAATAATAATAATTATGATTAAAAATCGTATGATTATTGTTAAACTATTTAATATTGTTGCTTCTTGCATCACTAAATCTTATCAATCTGTACACATAATATAATTACATATATATCCTGGAGAATTGATGAGACAATTGATTGAGAAAAGACATAGAAAAAAAATTACCCATTTTGCTGCGAGCTTTTAAAATTTGTTTATTAAATCAAGTCACAACTCGTGTAAAGGAAAATTTGAACCGCCCTGTTAACGCGGACACAGCTGATAATATGAATCATAAATTATATATCTGGGAAATATCTGGGCTTCTAAAAATATGCATTGTCAGGAAAAGACTTTGTAATTTGGACCATGTTTTTGAATCACATCTGAAATAATTTATGCCTCCATGATACTATTCTTGTATTACGGAAACTATCAAGTTAAAATGTAAAGTAACAAAATAACGTTCGATATATATTTTTTTCAATAGATAACGTTGAGCTACAACGATAACCTGTAAAAAATCTAACGATCATTTATCGAAGCAAACATTATCTGATAATTCGAAGAACCAAATTCTGCTTAATCCGTTTCTATAATAGCTACACGTAACTTTATATTACATTATATTTTATACAATTTAAAGATAACGAAATAAAAGCTTGCGTAAAATGATATAACAGAACAACACGTGTGTCTGCTTAAATTTCGCTGAAAGTCGCATAAATGCACGTTCAACAAAAAAACATCTGCAAAACTGCTGTCCTAAGTGAAAAAAAATTTAAAAACTTATTTCTCTACTAAAATCATTTAAAGAATATATTAATTGTTGACATATCCATCAAAACTATCGATTTGTTAAACACATTAATTCTCATGAAAGATTAATTGCGTGAAGTAATAATAATTTATAAATTCCACTTTTATTTTATTTTTTTATTTATGGTAATATGTTTTTGTAGACTTTTTTTCCACTTTTGTGCTTTGTCTCAATTTTAATGGACTACTATTTCCTAAAAAAAAATTAGAAGTAGAAAATTTAAGTAAAATAGTTAAATAGTAGTACTTTAAAAAAAATATTAAAATAATTTTTTAATGTGATTATCATATTTTAATAACAGTGTTTGCAAAAGAAACAAGAGGCTGTTTGCCGTATGAATTTATGATTTTTGGGAATTTATGAGAATTATTCGCGAAGGAAATAACAATTTAATTATCGTCCATGTTTAAACTCGCTCTAATTAATAAAAAAACGTCAAACTGTTATACTTCAATTGTTCTGCGATAACAAACTGACGTAATGTTTAATATGCGATTGCAATTAGCAATTGATAATTCACATTATCATCTCTATAATCATTATATTTGATAATTAGTAATCTACATTTTTTATTAATATATATACGCATTTTTTTCCGGGAACGAATTAATAAAAATATATACCAGCCAAAGATTATGAAACACGGTAACAGTAATTGCATGATAATTGCGGTTTTTGCGGTTTCTTTTATCGCTGTGCACATGGTAACAGGTTTCCTTGATGCTATTTTTGTTTCTGTAATATATGCACCGACCAATTCAATGATACTTTACAAGTAGCAATATACATATATAGAAATAAAAAGATTTCTTATTATAAATGCTCTATCCGTCCATATAGTCATTCAGTGCAGTTCAAGACTGTGCATATCGTTCGTACAATTATCATTGCGTTACGATATCATACAGAATCTGATCATAAATGATGTAACAGAATTCTGTACAGAAATGCATTTCTTTCGACGCGTGCTCATTGTATGGCCATTGGACAATGGCCCGGCAACTATTAATAATGCATGAGGCGGATAATTAGTATCCCACGATGAATGAGAGGGTAATTAATTTACAAAAAATACGTATATTTCATTCGCAATGTGTGCGTACAACTTTCATCATCGATACCGTAATAAACGAAGCGAGATCGCAATAATTATACCGCGTGATGCGAAAGAATTCTTCGCGCGCAGACCAATGTATTATCATTCGTTTGCTAACTCAACTGTGTGTCTAATGTTGTTTCAACGAGAAAAAGCACTTTACACTTTTAAACATCTTATTCGGATGATATCTAACACTGACAAATAATCATTGTTACTTTTCTTTCGCAGTGTACTAAATTTAGATTTAAAACGACATTATATTTGGTACATTCGATGAATCAAAAATAGAAATAGTATTTTTGGCACTTTTCTATTTTGGCAGACTTACGCGGTGTCGTTGACACGAACGGAATACCACTAGTTTATCTAGTGTACCGCGGAATATATTTTCCTCTTCGAAACACAATACATCGGGATGGTTAAAAATGCCTTCGGCGTGCGCGTCACGTCACGTTCCTCGGATTCGCCTCGTCACGAAGAACGAAAATCGTGACGAAGATATTCATGGCTGAGAGGAATCAGCGTCGTATAATATGCAAATATCCCGTTTTTTTCTGAATACCGCGGCTCGCGTGGTAGGTATTACACAAGATACTTTCGCATCGTGTAATTTAAGTGTCGAGTCGTGTGTCGCCGAGATACATCGCCGGAACTTTAAACCAGTTGTGAACCGAGTTGATAAGTGCGGATGATCAGCAAGCCGTAAAATACTATCGCAATCAATTTAGCATTATCGTATAAATTTTAATTACATCGAGTCTTTCTTTCGCCGAGACAGATTTTATTTTAACACAAGACACGATATACACAATTCTGTAAATTGAAAAATGGAAAAGAAGTGGCAAATTTATAAATTATTATTTTGCGTAATTAATTTCCTTTTCAATGAAAATTAATGTATTCAGCAAATCGATAGTTCTAACGATTAATGAATATTGATACGATGAACAAATATTTCGATATACGCTTTATTCGGCAATATCTCCATGCGGGTTTTACCCGCAAATTTTTCTTATCTATAATAATATCATCATTTATTTATTATCACCATCACGCAAACAAGTACAATGGGATGGAAGCGATGGGGAACGAACACCAAATTGAAAGATAACGATATTGTAGGAAAAATTAACGTTGAAAAGCCGATGAAATTTATTTATATATTATTATAAAATCTTTATTAAAATAATAGCAATTTTATTATCGGAAATCTATGGCAACTAATCTCGATCTTGCCGCGTTATCATCCATATAATTACATATAGATACAAGCCGACGTAAAGCGGAGGATCATTCGCATTACGACGAGCGCAGAATAAAAGTTGCTTCGAGAAAACGATTCGTCGGTTTTTGCGGCGTGTCCCATCCCGTTCCCTTACCTTTTTTCAACTGCTTTTGCTTGTGATCGTCGGCACCGTCTCTCTTGATCCCCGCCTTGCTTTCACTCGCTATAAGATTCTCGCTAGTCTTCGATTTCATTGTGCCTGCTGGCTCTGCGTTGCGTAACTTCAGGGTCACAAGCCGCCCGGCGCGCACAACTCTTCTTCCTTTTTACTTTCCCCGCACGATGTGCCGAGAGATACCGATAAGATAGCGTCAAACAGCGAGGAATCGGTGGGCGCGATTTTCATCGATTCCGGATGTCAAACTAGCGCGGGCGATCTGTCATAAAATCGTGTGACATTCAAATGAGATCTGTCAGCGAGAAATCAATTTCTCTTGATAAATCACAACGCGTCTTGATAAACCAACTTCAAAAATTTTAGAAAATAAGAGAAAAATTGATTTGGTTGCGATGAATCTAGTAAAATGAGTTTATATCACGTGTTTCGTGTTTTATAATCAAATGTATCTTATGCGCGACATCCTGTACATGACGTTATGAAACAATTTTATTTTATTTCTAAGGTAATAATATCCTCGGTAGATTAGCGAGATAACAATTGTGCTGAAGGCGATTATGTTGTTTGCCGCGAGTGGAGTGCATCGATGATAGCGTGACTAATTTTTGCAGAATGCAGGAACCTTGATTTCATCTATAATAGTATGTCACTCGATTATATATAAATATATATACATGTAGTATATACGCGAAAATTTATACGTCATAGGAATTTTTTTTTTTTTTTTTTTACCGATTAATCGATCATTCACTTTGATGAGCTGACCTGAATTTCGAAGCAATTATTCCGAATAGTATGAAAAATTGACGCGAAATGTCTGCGATACCACGTGCGATACGATCGCTGCGACTGCTGATCGACGACTGCCTCTGTGGAGGAGATTCGTGCGTCGAGTCTCGCGAGATTGTCACCCGTACAGTCAACGCAGATAACGTTTACTTTTCACAGTTGACTACGCCCTGCAAAAACCTAATCTCAAATCGGCAGAAGTGACTTTGCGCTTTGTATTTTGCCGCAAACGTTTCTCCTCATCTTTTTTTCTTAGTTTTTGGCGTAATCTGTTTGAATGCTCAATACACATATTTGCGAAAGAGATCGTCTTAAAGAAGGAAAAAGTTTGGAAAGTTTCATAAATTGATAAAATTATTTAAACTCGTGCATAAAAATGCAGACATAACGATTTTTTGATTATTAAAATTTTAAGATATTCATGATGGATAGTTTCAAAGTTTGCAAAACTCTCTCTCTCTCTTTCTTTCTCTACAGATCTCTTCGAAAAAAATTTTTGACGTAGGCATAAATTATATTCTAACGATGTGATTTACATTTTTGTAAAAAGCATAAAATGCAGTAATATTAATGATACTCGTCAAATTGGATGAATGGAGTTGGAGGCTATATTTGAATGCAATTTATAAATGGAAATTTGTTATATAAATATAATGCTTTATAATCCGGTTAGCTGGAAAGATGTCCGACGTCTGTCATAATTTTATTATCATATATGCACGCGGTGTTCTAATTCCGCCAGCTTAAACTGGTTTTGCACATTTAAAAAGATTACACGATTAATAACAGAATAATAAATGTTATTGCATTATTTTTTTAATTAACAATAAAAGATTGCCTTTTTAAAAATTTCCATAATAAATTTCTTAGCAATTAAATCATTTAATTCTATCTGGAAAAAATATCGAAAAAAGGCAAATTATTCTTGCCCTCAGGCAGATTTCGATATAGAAAAAATTAATGTTATTAATAATATTGTGATAGTGTTACTATTAAATTTTTACGTCTAGAGGAAAAACATAGATAACTATAATTTTATCTCGCTAGTCAATAAGCGTACTGCATTGAGCAACTTTAGAATTACATTACGTTCACGAGATCAAGTCAAAGGATCCTCCGGCGCAGTCAATGCACGCTGCGCATCGTATGCACCAATAAGCGCCTGGAATATCGATCTAGGATGCATACAGGAAACTAGTGCCTTTTCAGCTGGATAATGTAATGTTTTCTTCGAGAATTTATAATTGAATATTGATGCCTATATTGTTACGTTTACATAGAAATCTTTACATATTAATATGTTTTAAAACAATAAGGAATAATGTCATTTTGACATAAAGATTTGAAGCATTTAATAACTTTTCAAATGAGAATTATTAATCTCGAAATTGGTCATGAAATATATAATTGTACAATTTACAGAAAAATTCTGATTATAATTTTCTAAAAAAATTGTTATATATAATTCACACAAGAAATTTGATATAAGAATTATACAGTCATTTTTCGTGTCATTTCTGAAAGCAAACTATGTATTTTCGGGCTCGACCTTTCGTTGACGCCAATTAGGGGCCTTCACCGCAGCAAGATTTCTCCCTCAAGAAATGCAACGTCCCACCGTGTACAGGGAATAGATATCGATCAGCAGCGGACTTGCAGTTTCAGCGAAACGCGTTAATAGCATTTTCGAGGGTGGAAACCCCGCGCCCGTAAATGTGTCAACGTCCAAGGGAAACCGAGAAAAGGATCAATACCGCGATACGTCAATCGCTCCGGGTTAACGCGCTTCGTCGTTAACTGATCTATTATGTAAACGTTTTCTCGTGCGTGAAATGGCCGCGAGTTATACCGTCTCGCGTATAAAGTCTTCGCGTTTACGTGCGGTATGTGTGCATTGTAAAATCTACAGGCCACGTAATGCGGCAGATCGAGGTTACGACAGTGTCGTAACGTGATCGATAAACGAAGACGTAAATGTGCGATGACCAAACCCACGCGCTGCAATGCAACTAATTAATCAAATGTAACATTTCGAATAAAATTGTTAATTATACGAAGAATAAATTTATATCCAAAATGGCTTAAAGGTTGCTGTTCAGTCTTTTAATATTTAAATACGCGCAAGTAAATAAATTAATTAATTAGTAATGTTATTAATATATAGTAACAATAAATATGAAACAATTTTTCTCGCGTTTAATTTTTAATTTAAATATTATATTTCTTCTTAATCAAAGAGGATGATAAAATTCCAATATTTTAATAAAATCGTCCAAGCTTCCCTTAATTTTTTAACGCGCGCAAAAGGAAGATGCTAGAAAATTTTTTTTATTGGTCAGAGAATAACCGTGCAACAGTAGTTTTAGGTTTCGCTAATGCTACGTAGTCATGTAATTATCGTAAAGATAACTTTCCATATAGAAGTTGTTTACACAAACTAATTATCTCTCTGATCATATATATGTAGAAGTCATTAAATTGCACTTAAATACTATATGTGTCATGTAAGATAGATGAAAACAGAGTGACGGTTCGTTGTATAAGGAGTGTCATGCCTCGGTTGATCGGAAG